CTCGAGTACGATTTTGTTGTACTCGTACTCGTACTCGTACTCGAGCGTCAGTACTCGTACTCGTACTCGGGGGGTCAGTACTCGTACTTGTACTCGTACTCGGGGGGTCAGTACTCGTACTTGTACTCGTACTCGGGGGGTCAGTACTCGTACTCGTACTCGTACTCGAGAAAGTCTGTCCTTGCCCAGCTCTGCAAATAGAACAAGAGGAAAAAAGCAAGACAACAAGTATGATTATTGAATTCCGTCATTTGAACGTACTCATTTTACATGATATACATGTTGATTATGCTGAGCAACTTCTTTGTCGAAGCTATCTTCCATGTCTAATCGAACTCGTCATTCGTAATAATGCATTGTCAACAATAATCGATCAAAATAATCAACAAGCTAGAAATAATTGTTCAAAAGTTGAAACACTTCAAATTGTTGAACCATGGATTGAGCCAACAAGTGTTCATTTGAAATTTTTTCCCCATTTACATAGAAAAATTCATGATGAAAATTGAAATAAAATGAATAAATTGTATAAATATTGACTAATTTCTAAAGAAACTTTTTTGTTATCATAAATCGATAGGAAATAACAAATATTATCGTATCGACAAAAATAGAAAAATAAACATCACAACTCTAAAGTTAATGCTTTGATTAAAAAAAAAATTATATTTTTCATCTGTTTACATCATTAAAATTTACTTGTTATTAAAATTATCTCAACAAAATTCATAATAGTAAAGATTATTAGGATGTGAATGTAAGTATGGGCTTGGGTATGTGGGGATGAGGCGGATGGGGGTGATTTGAATGTCGGTCTTGTTGTGAAATCATGATATTCGAGACATTTATTGTCTCTATTTTTTGAAATTGTATTTTTATTTTTGTGTGGATATTTAGTTTCTACATTTTCAGAGTGTCATGTGGATGTGAATTTTGGTACAGGAAAAAATAAGGAAGTGGCGTTCATTTCCACTCGCATGCTTACATCGCACATCAACTTCACTTACATCCACCCACCCACATCATAGTGAACTTATACAG